AATAGCTGTCGCTGACGAATAGCTGATTTTGCGAAAAATGTGCAACCCTCCTTCATCCATGCCGCAGCAAATGAACTTGTGTGTATGGGTGTGGCTCATCCGGCCACTTGGGGGATTGGACCGCGTACGGCTTCACCGGTTGTTAAGCGTTGGTTACGGCATGTGAAACCGGGGGGTGGTATGCCAGCATTCGCATGCCATGTACTCGGCGATGCTGCGTGCTACGGGGTCGTTCGCCTTGCATGTTGAGTTGCAGCCGTGGCCGCACCTACACCACGTAGTTTACAGGTGGCACCTTTCCCCCTGTCTCCTCGCGGTTTTGGGAACTAGCTCGGTGTGGGCATCATTGTCTCAGTGATGGTCGCGCAGCACGTCATTCCAACACGGGACCGGTTTTGTGCATGTGGCCCAGACACTTTGAGCCATGCATTGCTCGAATGTAGCGCGCACGCCGCATCCAGACGTAGATGGCGATCTCAGGTTGGCGTGAACCCAGTCCTGTGTGTGCGAAGTCTTCTCCACACTCGTGCCGGAACCAACATAGCAAAACAGATTGTGCACAATGTGCAGTGTGTTGTTTCAGTCTGCTACGCCGCAGAGGCGTGTGAGATGTGTTTTGCGACATGTACATACGCAACCCCAGTGCACCTGCACGCTACAGCATGCGTGCGTGACCTAAGTACGTGCTGGGAGGCGGCTGGATGCCGAGGCGTGGAGCCATCGCTCGACCTCATGCACAGCCCGCCCGCCGGCAGCAAAGGCAACCGTGTCGAGGGGGAGTTGGAGCAGTGAGGTGGCGAAAGCCCTCTGCGCTGCCACGGCGATGACGCCAATTCCTTCCAAGCAGGAGTGTTGCCGACGTGCACCTGGATGTTCGCATGCCTGAATGAGGCCCTGCGGACGATATGGAATTGGTCCGCCGTCCGTTCCGGCCTGCGTGTTAGATGTCGTCGAGGAATCGCAAAGCCGTTCCGTCGAGCGCAAGCACCTTCGTCAATGCTGCATGTTGCCCCAGCTCGCCAACAATGCGTTTTGGACAGCGCCAGAATACGATCGATGCGCACAGCAGGAATGAGCGATGGAATTTGGGCCAGTGGCGGCCGGTCTCGCGCAGGGAGCGCTTGGTCGTGGCATGTCGCGGCGGGGGGTTCTGAGCAATGGCGACCAATTAATGATGGGTAGAGGGCAGCGCATGTCCCTGCAGAATGGAGAGAGCGTGTTGGGAGTCCGCGTAAATAACTCGTCAGGCCGCTGAGTTTGTCAGACTCCTTGCTCGCAGCCGGGCCCGTGCCGCTCTTACTGCGCCGCGCGGGCGGCATGCTGTGCCGCGTTTGTGTTGCGCTGGTCTGTGCTATTATCCTATGCAGCCGCACGGTCGTTTGCAGCCAGCCCTCTTTTCCTTCCCGTGTCCGGCACGGAGACGCACCGCTCCTCAGCGACATCTTTGTTGAGCAGCCCCCCCTTGCCAGCCGCATGTCGTAGCCTGATGTTTTGGCTTTGTGAAACAATCAGATGCGACAGCTAATTGCGCAGATCATTGCTTTGTAAGGACAAGAATGGACTCAGCTGTTTGTCGCAACCACCATTTTGAATCAACGGCTGCTGCAGATTTCCAATTTCCCAATCGACGCCAACGACAATGCATCATGAGAGCATCTTTCCATGTGCCAGGCTCTCTCCCCGCCTGAACTCGTCGGACCCTTCCAACACACGAATCACCCGTCGATCACGAGGCAAATTTGCAATGTAAGTAGCCAGTTTCCACAAACTTGCAAAAGATTGCTCCCTCCAACTATTCAAGGAATTCTCATGGCAGGCGTTCCGAAGTTTGTTGTTCGGAGCATGCAACATCATGCAACGTTTCATGCCGCGGGTCATCCCATGAAATGTTTCCGGGTGGGCCCACTACGGAACGAAGCAACCTTGTACTCAACATCCATCCGGTGCAGGTCAGGCTTGTGAATCGATCTGTGTCCAGCGCGAAACATGCCACTGGCGAAACCATAGCATCAATGAATATCAATCGTTTCGACTAGGAAACCTCACGATCACACAAAATTCAGCCGCTTGCATAGAAGGAATTTGGCTACAGCAACATGGTAGGTGACATCTTCATGTTGTTCTGAGGATCCGCCCGCTGACAACATGCACCCCTCCCATCCGTGATCTACGAATGGGTGGAAACTCTTCCTGGTGTCAGTTCTCATAGAGCCCACGATAGGAGCCAAGCAAGAAAAGCGAACAAAGGAACAAAAAAAGGAATTGAGTGCAGTCGCATCTATCTTATGAAAGCAGGGTTGGCTTGTCCAAATAGAATAACCACGGCAGGTGGCGAAAGTAGGGAAGTGTTGGAATCGAGTCGAGTACCGAAGAACGATACTTTTCTACGTTGCAGGTGTTGCAAGTAGACATTACCCCTGAAATTCTAGAATCTCACGTGCGCTTCACAGCTTCTGTCTGCACCATGCAGCGATGGCTTATAGGTGGTGCGCTTTCGCCATGGGTGCGATGCGCTGCCTTTTCACTGCTGACCCGCGTGGACGGCTGTTTCAGGTCCAAATCTTTGTGTCTGTTAGAAACATAGCATTCTCTCTTTCCGGACCTAGGATAGCGTGGCTGCATCAAGGCCCACCATAGTGTTAGTGCCCACAATTAAGTTTTTGATTGCTCTCTACCTGTTGGAAAGGTGTGGACCCTGCTCGGAGCGTTTATGTTGACGATAGTAAACAAGTGGGTAAAGTAGTGAAGTACCACTGGTGAACTCACAAATGCCACAAGCTTTTGACATGTGAGTGGCGCGAAAAGGGAAACGAAGAAACCAACAACGTCGTGGCAGTCCTGACTTTAAAGTTGCCAACCATTTTTCGTTAGAAGGGATGAGTCGACTCTAATTTGTCTACCACATGAAACAAACATGTTGGATTCACCGCAATATCTATATGTGGTGCTATCGTACTTCACATGTTCGTGCAAGCCATCTAAAGAAGCAAGCTAGATAGGTAGTGGAACGGAGGATCGGCTGGAACTTGGCTCAAAATGTTGGTTCCAGGCCCAAGCTTTAATTTCGTTAGCTTTCGGTGGACTGCCTTCCCCGCCGGATGGAACACATGACACCCACCAGGGTGTCCGACTTCAAGCTGCATTGGACTGGACCCGTGGCTTATGGTCCTTTTCCAGACGGAGGCCGTGAGCGCCGGGGGGCATGGTTCAACCCACAACCGGCTGTTCAACTTTCACGCCCGAGCGCCCACAATTTGCGGGCACCTCGACACCAGCCACCCCCCGGCGCCTCCACAGCACCGCGGCTGCGCGACGCGGTCCCAGATTTTTGATTTCCAAGGTTTCACCGCCGTTTCGTCGGCTTGGACGCTGGCCGTGCGCAGGTTGAGCTTTCGTTATGTGTGGGTTGTAGTGGGCACCGGGTGCTGCCCTCCTCGCGACGGCTGAGCTAATTCTGCTCACGCAGCTTTTCGTCCAATCGATGTGGGTAGGTCCTGGCGGGTCAGGGGAGGGCAGCATCCAGTGCGCTCCAACCCCACACAGTGGCTGCCGAAGGCACTGCTGCAAAAAGCGGACAGTGCTAATTTGATGGCGCTGCCACGGCGGTCGAGGAGCTCACTGCGCCAGCACCTACACGCGGCTGCGGTTGGCCACCTGAAAGAGCTCGGGAGTCGCGAAGGAATGCAAAGGAGGGCAGCACCCGGTGCGCCCTCCATGAAAGGAGACTGTGGTGAAGCCTCAGAAAAACTGGGGGGCGCATGGCGGCGCACAAGGCAGGGGGAGGCTGTGAGGCGACATGCCTGTACCGACCTCTGTATCCCAGCTCAAGTACACACAGTGCGCCCACAAAGACACGCAGACTTCGTAACCGACGGAGATCCTCCCGCGGCTGCCTCCGGGCGCCTGCAGAAGAGGTTCTGCCTGGCTTCAAAGGCTTGCAGGAACAAAAAAGGCTGATTGCATTTTGAGGGTCGACACTTGCAATACAAACTGGACGGACTTCTTACACAGCACAGTCTCGTCGGCAGGATGTCACCCTTGCCACGCAGCGCAACCGCGGAACGCACACGCTTGCCGCCCCAGCCCGCCCATGCAGTGTGCGCCGCGTAGGGATGCGTAGCCAGGGCGGCCCATCCGACGCACGCACCGCTTGCTCGCTCAGGAAGCTGAGGCAGAGGGTGGCGCTGCCGACGGCACGTGTGCGTCCGCGCTGTTAATTTAATCCCCCTCGCCGCCATCTGCGTCCGCGCGGAGACGTTGCACAATGCCGTGAGCGAGCCTTGCGTGCCTTGGCAGAAATGCGCCTCCGGCCCGAGGTCGGATCCAGACGACGGTGTTTCTGTTTCGGACAACCTCAGCACACACACACACACACGCCGCTTGCCTCGCCCCGGACCTGTGATGGATATCTCACCGATCGCAGCGCAGGAGGAAACTGAGGGTCTTTGCTGCGTGTGCCTCGAGGCCTTACGTTCGCCCGGCTCCGGTGAGAACGCGGCCGCACCCTTCACCACCCGCGCCCGACACCACATGCACGTAGGCTGCCTCGCCCAATTCCGCATTCAAGCTTCCAGACCCTCTGAGCTGTTGTGCCCGTTGTGCCGACATGGCCGCTGCCCGGAATGCGACCCGGGTCCTCCCAGCATGATGTTCCAATCGAGTCACGTTGCAAGGAATTTGGGGGCAGTGGACTCCCGCAGAGTGCAGGCGCCGAAAGATGGCAAAAGCACAGGAAACAGAAGGGCGCAACGGACGGCAATGTCGCTCAGCGCAAGTTGCAACTTGCAACAGCAGGATCGCAAACGGGAGTTCAGGTTGCCGTGACAGCTCTGTGTCGAGCATGTAGTTGTCGCAACATGAGCTGAGCCAAGAAACGATCCAGGTCCACTTTATTCAATCCACGAACCAACGGCTCACGACCGGCAGCGAGTGCTCTTTCCCCGCCGCCGGGTGCGGCAGTGTCCGTATACACGCACGGGACAGGAGAATGTACAGAGCCTTTACACTTTACACTTGTCGCATCGGTACAGGCAACCAAAAACGAACAGTCCAACATAAGGGAGACAGCTGCTGAAAGGCAATCCGTCAAGTGGCACCGGGTCTCGCAACATCACCAAGAATTTCGCCTGTCGTACTTGAAGCAGAGCCCACGTCTTGCCCGCATCAAACACCGCGGTGGGATCGGACATCAATCTTTTGTGCGAGGTCCTCAATTGGTGGGCATCAGATGTTCAGTACGTGTCCGAGGCTCAAGATTCGCATCTGCGCGAGTCCTTTGCCCTCGTCCCAATGACAGGCCGAAGCGTAGCATGGATGATCTGTTTCCGGCCTCGATGAGCGTGCCCAACGCCTCCACGAACTAAGCACAGATGCCCCGACATGGAGCTATGAGACAGGCCTGCATTTCGGTGCCGTTCCATGGCCTCCCATACCTGAACACTCGGGAGCAGAACTAGAATCCCACCCATCTCGCCAGTGAAGCAAAGATTCCGGTCACGCCGAAGAACAGACACCTGCAGAATGAAAAATGAGAGAAGCTTTCAGTGGCTCTCAGCCCGCGGCAGCTGAGGCCAAGACACTCTTGTGGGCCTCCAGTGCCCTGGCACCACGCAGCCCAGGCAGCCCAGCCCAGCATTTCAAGCATTTCAAGATCAAAGTTTCTACAGACCTGATCATGCTGGTTGTTCCGCATCCAGGGAAGCCGAGAATGATGAAGCTCAGGGGCCACTGCACGAATGGGGACGCCTGCCCAATATATCAAAGAAGCGGACATGGGCAGTGCACATGCTGAGCACCTTCCCGCGACAGCACACCTGGACCAAGTGCAGCTAAATGTGTCAACGCTGCCGGGCATGGAAGCACTAAGCTGTCTGCATCGAAGGTGAAGATGCGGTTGAAACACTCGGCATCTCCGCCATGCCTTGGCCCAGCAAGAATAATCGCGGGCATGAAGCCACCACTTGCAGGCATGAAGTCTTATAAGTTTGACTTCGTGCCCGAAGCCGACGAATTGATCGGTCACTGCTGCTATCCGAATAATGGTTACAGTACCAGCATTGCTGGAAAGGATAATCGAAAACAGTAATGGTCATGTGTTTGAGGTTTGCACGACGTTCGTGTAACGACGACGCCCAGATTGGTAGTTTCAACTGAACTAGTCGTAGTTGCTGATGCTCGAGAATACAACATTTCTGATGACAGTGCCGGCTGTATTCATGCGACAGTTCAGAGTTGTTGCCGTAGGAAACGTCGTAGTAGTCGTCGTCGTCGTCGCCGGCATCGTTGTAGCAGCAGCAGTAGCAGTTGCAG